TCACTCTCGGTTGATAAGTAGTATATAACTACAGGTAGCTGTTCCCTTTCAGCGTAGAATCTAAGCACACTGATTGTGTTCAGTTGCTATTTGTACAATTAAATGTAATTTTAAAGGTTGAGTGATACCAGTCTACAAGCCAGTAAATTGTGATTTGCACTACGACGTAAGTCATTGTTACCAACAGCGTCCGATCGCTCCTATTGTAGAATTGAGTCCATATAACCGCCATGATCATTGAACGTTTTTTACAGCTAGCGATCCTAGAGGTCGCAGCGATCGTTGTGGTCAGTGGGAACAATGCAGGTTGTTCAAATCACTTTCACCTCGAGAAGCATGGCGATTCTGTTGTAACAAAATTCTTCTGTTTCCTTAGAGATCTGTCATTAGTGTTTAAGATTTTACTTCTCCTTTTTCTGCCCCCTGAGGAAGCTAAGGTTTGTCTTGCAAACCGAAAAATCGGGCAAATTTGCTGAAATATAGTTTGTTTTACCGTTTTTACCATACAGTAGAACTTCTCCTTTGGGACATCTCTATTAGCCATTTCGGAGTTGCGTAGGGAACTGGGGCGTGTTTCAATTTTCAACTAATCGATAAACTGACACCATCATATAAAAGGTCATGTTGAGATTGGTCATTTGACCCAAGTTTGGTGCTCTAAAGTTGGACAGGCATCAAGTTATGACTCTTGAAACATGTTTAAAGATCCATACAAACGTCTATAATTTTGTGACAGCGTCCCCCCAAAACATATAAACTCTTCAAAATTTTTTCAGTTTTTTCTTTTAAATTGTAAAATTCGTCATGCATCTACTACTTGGAAGGAACTAATTCTAAAATCACTGTTTTTGCCCATTTTTAGGGATAATTAAGAGCCTATATGGTTTTGGGGGATGCTGTCACAAAATTACAGAGGTTTGTATAGCTCTTTAACCATGTTTCAAGAGTCATAACTTGATCCCTGTTCAACCTTAGAGCACCAAACTTGGTCAAATGACCAATCTCAACATGACCTTTTATATGGCGGTGTCAGTTTATCGATTAGTTTAAATTTGAAAGTCGCCCCAGTTCCCTACGCAACTCCGAAATGGCCAATTCAAAGGACATCCACATTCAAGGGACACCAAATCTGGCCTCGGAAAAATGCCCACCGGCATAATCTTTGTATCTATTACCTTAATTGAAGGTACACCTCTATTCAGGGGAAAGGAATATATTTTCCTGAAACCTAGTTTTAACCTCCTTTCAGGGGACTCCATGGCACTCAAAAAGTGATCGATCGAATCAAAAAGTGGCTGTTTGATATCTTTAAGTACACAATAATCGCAATTATGGAAGCTTTCGCAAACTGAACTGTCTCACTTAAATTGATGTAATTCAACATATAATGTCTCACAGATAAGCTAATGATGATTTTTAATGTTGTATTTGTTGGTTTTAAAATTATTAGCAAACCCCAGCCCAACCTCCATTCAGGAGACGCCTCTATTCAGGGCACACTTGCCTTGGTCTCGAGATGGTCCCCTGAATAGTGGTTCCACTGGATTTATTTACTTTTTCGTCACTTTGCCGCCAGGGACAAGATCGGTACAGATTTTGGTCGGGATTAACTGATGCCGCAGTTGAAGGGACGTACAGATGGGAAAGTGACAACTCGTTAGTGAATTACACTCACTGGGCAGTAGCAGAGCCCAATGATATTATCGGTTGGGAGGACTGTGTATGGCTGTATGGCGCTGGTGATCCAGGATTCTGGAATGATGACAGCTGCTTCAAGGAGTATTACTACATCTGCGAGAAACCTGGGGACAAAGGTTTTTGTATGTGTTAATGTAAAGCACTGAAACAGTCAAACAAACCTGCTTTGGTATTTCACTTGAACACTGTGGTACAGTGCCCGCCAACGGTGTATTCTTAATAGGGACTTTAAGAGCCAACGACCGGACGGCAGTGAGAACGTCGCTTAAAAAATGAATTTGCGTTCTTTCCGTCTTTTTCGCAATTGTTCCTACGCACTTATGCATGTAAAGCGTTCATCTTTCAAAAAGTTTGCTGAATTTTCGTAAAGCGTACATCGACCTGTGTTTGCTGAAACTTCCAAAGCGTTCATCTTTCAGAAGTTTGCTGTTAAACTTTACTTTGGATTAAGCCTTCATATTTTTCAGCATGGTTCGTCACTGTCTTTGGAAAATGTGTGCAACTCCTGGTGCATGCATCAAACCGGGTTTAGTTCGGCTGCCGTTGTGTCACAAAGTAAATCTACTGAGTTGTGTAGCTCGGCAGCCGTTGTCAGGCCAGAAATTAAATTTACCGAGTTGTGTGGCTCGGCGGCCGTTGTGTCACAAAGTAAATCTACCGAGTTGTGTAGCTCGGCAGCCGTTGTACCTGCACAAGAAATCTACCGAGATGTGAAGCTCGGCGGCGCCATTTGATCATGACTTTAACACTTTAACTCTATGTTATTTATTAGGAAAAACGTATAAACCAGCCCACAGTAGCGCCACTCTCGAGTCACTGAAATCAACACGCTGGACCAAATTACTGGAAAAGTTATTGACGTGAGTCGCACACACATTCCACTGAAGCCTTTGACAGGGTTAGCGCGAAATTTGAATTCAGATTTGAAAGCTTTTAAGAAAGTAAATTCAATTTAATTCATTTCGTAAACACGTTGATGATTGGATGCTCTTAAAAATAACAGAGAAAATTATCCGAAGAAATGTTGTTGGAGAAGGAAAAAGAATCCCGGGTTAAGCGCTATTTGGCCTTCGAACAACTGCGCCCTGTAATCGCGCCAGTAAAACAAAAGTTGATTAAAATGTTCTATTTACACGCCCGACGACGCACTCTGGCCAGTGTATCCTCCGATTACAAGCACTTGACACCGAACCATATGATATCTTTTCAAAATCTTCTTATAATGATACACAGTTTAAATAGAGGTTTCGCTGTACGCAACCCTTACGTTCAAAATATGCCATAATCATATTTATCTGTCGCAAGAACCATCGAATCTTCCCCCTCAACTGTTCTCCGCCTGTACGCCTAACAGACATATCGAACGCACTCCTCTAAGCTCCGATTACTCGTAGTCATATAGTAGGAAATTTCATTAATCCTCGCTGTAACGGCGGTCGTCGGTCAACATTTGCCGGAAACAGTGCACTGTTACCCCCTCGCCGTCATAGATTTTACAACGTTGCCCGCTCAGAGGTTTTGGCAGGAAACAGTTTAATTGTTGGATGTCGTGTGACCTCGAAGTAACCAATTAGAGCGCGCGCTGTTGGGAAGAAAGTCCCAGCTATTTAACAATATACCTTATTAGGCAGATTTAGCAAAGACAACGTGACGACTGTAATGACGGCGCGCTCAGATCCAAAAACTGAATTGGCCAAAAACCAAGTTGTCGCCAGAAAAATTACGAAAAGCAACCCAGTCTCTGAAAACAGGCAAATCTTCAAATGAAAGCTTGTTCAAACCTTCGAAACTGTTACAAACACTTATGGGAAAATTCATTGCATGTTGCTTGAATGTTGAATGCTATGCCCAACATGTATAAAATACCAAGAAAATGAGTGCTCGCTATCAATTGCAATCCCTGGCCCGCAAACGATCACTGCAAGCAAAGCGTGGCTAGTAGCATTCATTTGGTATCACTTACGCTACAAAAGTTGTTGAAAGCTTGTTAATTAAGGTTGCTCCAATATATATATATATATATATTTTTTCATTTTAGGTTCAAATCATTCCGTTTTAATTGTTGGAACGAAGGATGTTCTTCTGAGCATTGACCTAAGTGACAGGTCAAAAAAGACCCAAATTCAAGTCAAGAATGTTATGTCAATAGGCTTCAGTTCCGATACAAACCTGATTTACTGGTCAAACAAGAAAGAAATTAACCAACTTTCTTTGCAAACCGGTGTTAATGAAGTCATGCCGTTTTACTACAATGACGTTAACTCCTTACCGTTTCCAGAGGGTCTTGCAGTCGACTGGATTAGTCAAAAACTGTACTGGGCTGATGCCACTCGAGACGCGATTTACGTGGGAGACTTGCGCAATGGCAGAAACGTGCAGATTATTGAAGGAAATCTTGGTTCACCAAAGGCTATAGCTGTGAGTCCCACGACCGGGTAGGTTAAACAGATCACCATCGATTTGAGCCGAACAAAAAAAAAAAAATTTGTTACGGCTGATTTTTCAGTATAACATGTTGCTGGAGGATTCTAGCTATTCCTGCAGTTTTGACAAATAAAAAAAGCCTTCAAATGTTCCTGTTTCAGCCTTTACGCCGAAAAAAGCGACTTTAGTCCCTGTTATCTTTTAAATTGGTTGAGTACAAGACTTTAGAAGAGCTCCTGCTTCAATTCCGGGATGGACAACGCTCAGAATGTGCTACCCATGCTCAAATGGTCACATTCGCTGGTTTTCTCGGAGAAAGATAAGAAACCGCAGACCCGCTGGACAACACTTTTACTTAAGTACGAAATTACTAGGCACGTAACAATCTCTCGCGGTGAACGCGTTTAGTGTCTCGTTCTTTTATGGCAGATTGTGAGATTGGGTAAGGAGGGGACCTCTGTTGAAAAGGAAGAATTCTGCTTGTTTGCACTGTCATTGGGTAGGGATATGTAAAGTAAAGCTGGATACGAGGCTAAGCATGTAAGCCCTTTATTTGTCTTCTGTCCTTCTCAGGTACATTTACTGGACAAACTGGGGCCAAGCGCCACACATTGAACGTGCAAGAGCGGACGGTACCGAACGACAAGTATTTATTCACAGTGGTATGGAGTTCTTAAACTCCTTGGCCCTCGACGAAGTAGACAAAAAACTTTTCTGGGCAGGGACAGACGACAATAAGTACGGAATTATTGAGGCTGTATCCCTGGATGGTTCAAACCGCAGTGTCATATTCCGTCAAAAGGGCTACCATCCCTATAGTTTGGATACCTTTGAAGACTACGTTTACTGGACTGACCGTGGACGAAATGCGATTTTTCGCATCAAATCTAGTGGTGGTGAGGCAGAGGTGATTATTGGGCGCTTAAACTACCCATTGGGATTAAAGATTCTACATCGACGTGAAGAAAGGCCAGGTTCGTATTCTGGTAGTGTTTCCCGTAGAATTACTTTCATTCCGTGAGTTTTTCTTTGTTTTTGTTAGCGAAGACAGACGTCTTTGTTTTAAGTGGTGATATGTTTAACGCTAAAGCACCAATTGAGGATTGGGACATTTCTACCTGGTCATCCAAGCCACGTGAACGTCAAACCATTTCTAGGACAGAGGCAAAACAGCCTCATTTCTCAATTAGTTCTAGCCTCCCACACAGGCGTTTTTAGGGGAGCTCGTATTTCGTCCCTCTCCACAAACGCCTGCTCAACCGAGAACAACGTTCCTTTCCGAAGCTTAGCCAATCACATTGTACCTTCCAAATTCTGGAAGGTTGACCTCGAACGCAGGGTAACCCTATAAATACTCGATCTGCATAAAACACTTGGAAAGCGTCATGACCTCTAATAACTGTTACAATCCGAGCTGCAAAAGTAAGATTTAATCAAATTTTAGAATACTCCGTGCACTGGTGCACTGCATAACCTTAGCGAAGGAAAAAGGTAACTCTAGAGGTCACGTTTTCACACTACCAAGAGCTTATGAGTCGTGTTTAACCTGTCAACACTTTATTTTAAAACTGTTGATTGGTCATCGAATGAAGCAATTGGGAAAGGAATGTTGTTCTTGGTTGAGTAGGCATTTGTGGGGAGGGACGAAAGAAAAGCTCCCTTAAAAACGCCTGGGTGGGAGGCTTAGTTAGTTCTGAGTATTGTTCTAGTCTCTGCCGGGACAGGAACCCGCATTCTTCCTCTCTACAGGCCAGGACTCTACCGTCTAAGTAATTTTGTGTAAGGTAGACTGAAATTTTTTATTCGAGGATTAAGTTTGTTTTTTTCACGTCTTAAAAGGGACACAGGCAGCTATGGGACCGCGCTGACCTGGACACTACTTTTGCCAGTTTGAAAAGCGTTTAACTCAACCTCAAATCAAATGTACGCGTCGGATACATCTAGAAATCCGCTTCAGTCTTGCCTAGTGTTTCATTCGATCCTCGATCGTCTACAGAAAACCCCTTTTTGAGAACACTTTAACTCATCCTATGACATTATTTTATCATATTTGGTTAAAAACAGTATCAAAGGAACATGAACAGAAGAGGTGAGAAACGCTTAGGCGCCGAGCGGGAGAAATCGCCTTCGTTTACCAAAATAACAAAAGAAATGTATCAATAACATTGGCGAGCAAATAATCGTTATATATATTTGGAAAATCGATGGTAAAGGTTACATATGTTTGGAAAATCAAGCTTTCTCGACCTTGAACCTTCGACAATGATTCATGCAGACTCTGTGTCATTTCTCATCTCTACAGATGATCTAATTCAGAAGTATTCGTAGATGTTTGGCTTTCCCTGAACAAATCCATGGGTGAATTCTCAATGATATGCTCTGATATGGCTTTTAGTCTATAGTCACGATTTCGGTTTGTAACTAGTTCAACTTTACAAGGTTTGTTTTGAGTATTCCGGATACGCTTCTCACTTTCTGTTTCACCCGCCTGTCTTGTGACATGCAAATCAGCTGAGAAATGGTATCTAAGCGCATGTGCATCAGCCGACTATGTCCTTTAAGAAAAACTTGATTTCTTTTTCTTTATTTTTTTTTTCATTTAAAGACGTTTTTCATTGTTTATTCTAGGCAATTCTTGTGATAGAAACAACGGTGATTGCGAATATCTGTGTCTACCTTTGGTTGAAAGGCAAAGATGCTTTTGCAGGG